CTCTACACTCAGATTCTTCACATTGTTTCTGATTTCTGCTGATTTTTTTTCAGTTCTTCTGCGTATCGAGTTTTTGCAGTTATTTGTTTTCTCATTATAACTGCACAACGTCACAGATCAAGATCTGCTTATATAAAATACACAAAAAACTGTAACAAGGGCATATTATAAACGGATTAATCATTGCAATCATTGCAATCATACTTTTATATCGCGCTCGCGGAACGTGATTTGGCGTTAAAGCCTGCGATGAAAAAAATAAATAAGAGAAACGAGAGAAATGATGATGGCGGACTGGAAACAAGGTAAACGCTTGCTTAACAAGGCATGATTTCGTTCTATAGCATTATCCAATTTTGTCTCGACAAAATAAGATGCCATAATATTATCAAGAGGGCAAACAATCTTAACAGAATAAAGCGTGAAGGACAAAGTGAAATCAAATAGAAAATAAATTGCATAAAATATTTCTTAAAAAATATTTTATTTGTATACCTTAGGATATATTCTGTCTTCACCTCCCCCTTCTCTAATGAAATGATTTATGATCAACCTATGCCGAAAATGTTAATACGAAATTTTAATAAAATCATCTGCTGTTGTCCACGGGTGGAAACCGAAAGTCCATATAGAAAAAAGCTGCACACGACTTCCACGCGTCTCGGCTCCCAAATGTTGCGTGGTTGCGTCTGTCGTCGAGCCCCTTCGACCAATACTGCCAACATTTTATTTTAAACGCTTTAGCATCTGAAATCTACCATCCAGACTGAACTTTCATTCTCGTTCTGTCTGGAAAGTTGAAGCAGTGAAAGACCAGATTGCTGTCTAACAGATCCTCCAATGAAATAGGTACCACCACTACATTGAAAGTTTTTGAAGATTGGAAAATGTAGACTAGAAAGATTGAGATTGAAAATTAAGGGTGCGTTGTAAGGGTGTTAGACGGTTTGATGTTAGAGGCAGGTTCATCTGGTGTTTTTAATTCTCTGTTGGAATATATTGAAGGTGGTGGAGCAGCTGGTCTTCATGTTTTGAACAACTAGAAGTGGGTCCTAGATTTTATTTTATAGACTTTATAGACTAGACAACTGTTATTGTAGGCAGCTAGACAGCTAGACATAAAATACAAGGTGAATCTAAAAATTTTATTAAGGTTTTTGGTTATTAGAGGATTTTTAATGTTTTTAAAGTTTTGAAGCATTCTGTATATTCTAACACGAGGGCAGACGCTCATTAGAGTTATTTTTTGCGTGCCCTTTTCAGTTTTGCAGTTTTTATCTAACAGCTAACGGTTTTCAAAATTTTTTGTTCTACAACACCTTTCTTTAGTTTTTTTTTGTTTCGTTTTCCAAAATTTTACCGCACCTAACGGGGACCGCACGCGACCACATTTTATTACATATTTAGCTCCCAATACAACGCCGGCACGCGTCGCGTGTCACATTTTTTGCCACGCGCATCGCGGCACGTTATTAATCGATGGTGCGTTATTAATTAATACGTCTCTCGCGGTGTTATGCGCCACCATGTCGAGGCGCATCGACATTGCTTTTTCTTATTTCGCGGGCGCCGACTTGCTTTCGGCACGAATACCGCGCATACAATCACGGCCGGCGTGGCGTTTGTGTGGCCCCGACCAGCAATTTGCCAAAACGTCAGCGCCGGCGAGACAATGGCCCCGCGCCCTTCGCGGAAAACGCCGCTATTAAAACGACGCGCAAGAATTTCGACCAGTTGGGCAAAAAAACATGGAGCCTGCTACTAATAAATGACATTCTCAACAATTTGAGGTTATGGTAATAGTAGACAACTTCTTATACACAACATAAAAATATGTCAACGGGTCATTAATATGAAATTATTTACTTTCTTGAACGTTCAACATCAATTATCATCATTAATCCGGTGAAAAACACATCTAATCAATTGACTAATGAATCCCCGACAATCCATAACACTATTTGCTCTAATTACACCGTACACTATACAAAACAGTTCAATTGATCACTTTACCGATCACATTTGAGAAACAACTCATAAAACTCATTAAAACATCAATCTAATGATAGCTTTTTATATTTATTTTTCCTACAACCCACATTTATCAAGAATTTCTTGATATTGATGTTGTTGCTTAATGTTAATCTATTAATGAAAAACAAACAACACAGCCATCGAAATTGAAATCAACCAAATGCGCGTCTGACGTTTTCGAGCATTATTCGTACAATTAGTCTGATTATTAACAAACAGAATGATCCCCAAGAAATGAATACACACACCCACCCACACATGAAGTGACCGACCACTGACTGACTGAATAAATAGACGAAGAAAAACCGGGGTGAGTACAAATGTCGTGTGTTTAAATTATTACTGATCTAATTGTCAGATATGTTTAACTCTGTGTCAACAAGCAAGGTTGACGACAGCGCACATGAAACACAAACAGAAATATTAAAGAAATGAGCTTTCCAGCATGAAAAATAGACATTAATACGGTTAGGGTAAAGTACGTTGGTGTTTTTCGTGTGTTTTTTGCGTTTTTTGCTGTTTTAAAATCGTATAAAGACAATTTTTAGATAGTCCGCGGTAGATCTCGCATTAATGCACCTTCGTGAGTCGTGAGGCGTACGCGGTGGCGCTTGAACGTCGTTTGTTTACTAATTCACTAATTAAATTCACTCCTAAGTGCTTTATCTTCGTGTGCATCGTGCGCGTTTAGACAGCAAACGGGCGGTAATTTGCCTTTTTATGGATTAACGTTTTCGATTAGCATTAATGTAGTTGTTTATATTTTTTGTTTATAGGTTCATTTTTTTTTGTATTTAACTAACTTTGTTACAAACCAAGATTTTTTAAATAAAAATTTTCAAATAAAATTTTCTTCAATGGTGGAAAAAGTTAAGTAGTCAATGAGAATCAAGCGTGATTGTGATTGGTAAATCTAATTGCACCTCGACAGTAAATGCAAGATGGTCGTCGTCTAGTTCCTTCCACGTCAACTTGCGCACATACAACTTGCTTGGGTTTTTTTTCGACGCAAAACATTTTCTTACTTACTCTCTTGGTACGCACAGCGTTGGCTGACTTTTTGCTTTCTGTCTGTGACGCTTTTTGCCGAGCGCAAGAAAGAAACAGAGTTTCCGTGTAAAGCGCGTAATTGCGCGTGGAACGGTTCTAATTAATGTCACAGTGATTGTCGCAATGGGCGCGCGCGGCGCACGCTCGCCGTCCAACATGGACAATACAAGGAACAATTAGTCCTGATTAGGTAGCGCCGACTTTTCGCAGCGATGAGGAGGCGAGGCGGACGGTAGCGCACGCCGCGGTCGCCGGTGCGTACCGCGAACCCGACGGAATTCTCGCGAAGACGTGATTATTGCTTCTTGGATTTGCGCCGGACGGGACGGCGACGACGGGACGAGCGCAACGCGAAAAAACTTCGTCGATGCATTGAAATGCAGAAAACCGGACGAAGGGCTATGCTACAAGAAAACAAATTTCTACCGACAAAATTTTTAAAATATATTCCTTTACAATAGACTTCAATTGAGGTTATAAATACATAGATTTTTTTATTTTCCGCAAAAGCACCTTACGATAATTTCCCATGGCGTGCAATCAGAATTTCATTAATTTTCATTTTCATTTTGATTCGCTCGCGGTAACAGCGTGCATATTTATTATTGTTCCCAGAGGTAATTACAAAGATAGCTCGTCAATCACTCAATCAATCACACGGCGATCGGGCGTTTTCTATTTTATTATTCCTAACTATGCTGTCTCTGCTTTTTTTCCGCACACTTTTTGTTTGCCCGCTTGCGTGGCATGCGGTGGTAGTTAAAATATGAGCATAGTGTGCAATAAATGCATGCATGTCATTCCAGTCGAACGTTCGATTCAACACGTATTCAATCATCAAATGTGATTTATGATTTGTATAACCGAGAAACTGAAGATTTTTTTCCTGTCATAAACGTGTATTTAACTTTTAACTTAATGCATTTCTTTTGGTTTTATTGTTTGTAAAACACAATAAAATAAAAACGTGTAAAAAGTTATAAATTGAGGTTATGTTAGTCGATGCGCATGCTGTCACACGTTTATACAGTAATTGTAAGTGATTGCGATGTTAATTCAAAGCGATCCAGCCCGTGCTCTCTTATTTTCTGCCCGTAATGCCAATTTCGTCCGTCGTTTCAATCGCTGCTTGATTTTATTGAGACGGTGGCTTTCCACTTTACGACATTCGAATGGCGTCATAACTCGAAATTAATAACCGCTAATAAATGCGCTTTATTAATTTATGCGTGAAAATTATTATTCGCGGAACGAACCATTAAAAACCACACAAGATTTGTTTAAGTTAATATAACCTTTGAGTCAAACAGAAAAGGGAAAATGATTTAAGTACTTACTTTACTTTACATCACTGAATTTTATCATTTTTTTCTTGAGTTTAGTTGAGAAATTGCTTTCGTCCTGAATCAACTTTTGAACCGGAGTTGACAAAAATTGTCGTAATTGAAGAAAGCAGTGCCGGACAGGCACGAGTGAGTGGCTTGTAAAATCTGCCCTCATATATGGGCGAGCACCTGCTCGTGGAGCGCGACCCAGAGCTTTTCGAAAACGCGCAAGCGAGCCACACGGCCGGCGTTCGCATTTTGCAAAACTTGCATGATTACGCGCGCACGCATGCACGAAGATGCGAATCGGATGTGCACATTGCGCAACGACAAAGTTTTTTTTAAGACGTTCGTGTGCCATCAAACAAATGTCACCCGAATTGCATCTGCAACCAGACTCACACAATGTTACTGCATCGTTTATGGATGCATTAAAATTGCAAAAAACTTGATAAAATTATATTTGTGTGTTTATTTTTATAATTTTTGCATTCAGTGGTGCAACTATGCCCAAATTGTCATCTCAAAATCCAAAAACTTTTTTTGTTTTTTTTTTCCTGAAAAATGTAAAAATAAATAAAAACCATAATATTTTTATTGTTTCATCATATTTATTGAGACAAATTCAATTCAATATGGCAAATAGGAGAATTATGACATAATAGAGTACATGACATGAAGTAACATGAATTACGGGTACAATATGGCGGCGCACTGATAGTGATTACAAAGTAAAGAGCAAAAAAAACGGAAACAAAAAATACCCAAGGTATCTACAGAAGGCGCAAACGCATGAAATATGCACAAAATTTAATTACAAAATTAATTAATTATTTAATCAATTAATTAAGAGACGCCAGCTGTGCGCGGCTGCTTAACGACCTAAATTCATAACTTATGTACAAAACATTCATTATCGTAATAAATATATAATCTTTGGTTGTTTTTAGCTGTATGAAGTTTTCGTAGAGGCTCTTTGACAATACACAGTCAATTAAACTAATTAAGTGGCATTTACCAAACGAAATATTTTTTAGTCAAAGATCTACGAAAACCGAGTGTCGAGTGCAAATATTTACAGTTTTCTGCTTGAAAGTGCGTGAAATTTTTGCGAAATTTTTAAAATTATTCATTTTTACAGGTAATTTACATATTTGCACCTCGTACTTGTAACTCATTCGATGTTTATCGATTCGTGCTTGGTGTTTGAAGAATCGTTATTTAATTTTTTATTTTTTGTTTTTAATTTTTTTTACTTAGAGCTAGACTAGACTGGTCCACTGGTCCCAATTGTTTACAATTATTTAATCATAAGTTAACATTGTTAATAATACCTACGTTGGTCCCCTTTAAAAAGGCACGACTTGTGAAAGCGCAACAATTACTTTGGTCTGCCTAAAACGACTACGTTTTCGTTTTATACTATTTAATAAAATGCTAGGCCTTAAATTCATAAATATCAACTAATTGTCGTGTTTTTTAGCGTTTAGCGCTTAATATTAAAAATTTTCAAAATTTAACATTCTCACAATTAGGTACCATGTGAAACTGGACGGCACAAAAACTCATCTTCCATGTACGGTGATTGTTAATACTAATTTTTATCAATATTAACGCACTGTTTGTTAATTCTCATTAGCAAATTGTATACGATGGCACGATATTTACACGGGTTGCATGTTGTTGACTTGCTTGACTCTCCAAAATGGCACGGTAAATATAATGGCGACGAATATACACTAATCAACATCTTACACACGTTTAACTACTGCTGGTGACTTCCTCTTTGATATCATCGACTTGCATCCATTCTAATTTCACGTTTGAAGATTTCTGGTTGTTGTTGTTATTGATGGGTGATGGTAGTGTGGTGAGGGCGGCGATATCATGCGCGCGCACGTTTATTATCGCGGCGGTGGCCGCGGGAGTGGCGTCGTGCTGTGATTGGGGCGGCGTGGCGGCAGTCGGATGCTGACTCTCACGATGCCGGCGTAGATCCACTTTGCGTTGGAACGCCTTCTCACATAAGCCGCACGAGAACGGTTTGTAGCCGGTGTGTTTTCGCATGTGCGTTATCAGATTCGATGATTGACTGAAGGCTTTTGCGCAGACGACACATTTATGTGGTTTTTCACCTGAAACAAACAGAAAATTGTGTTAAAATATTATTTATGCAAAAAACTTTGTAGTTTGTCGTATAAAACGGATTAAAAAGCGCACTTTAAGCATATAAAACTGGAGGTTGGATTATTTGATTAATTGCAGACATAAAAAGTAATTAAATTAAAAAAGATATAAAAAGGGTTCTTAGTAAATGTATGCACCAGCGCCTTAATTACTTTACTTTTACGAGGCTTCTCTTTGATATAAACCAGATCAGGCGTCCTGCAAGCACGAAAAGCAAGCAGGAAAATCGCAAATCATAAAAGCTTTAAGAAAATCTTTAAAAAAAGAGTGAAAACTTACAATAACTAAACAGTAAACAAAAAATAAAAAATAAATGGAACATGTTATTCCTAATACTATTACATAATTAAATAGTTACTAGTTTTGCATTTGAATTGAATTGAATTGAGGTGGTAAATTGAATTATTATAGACAATCGTAATTTGTTGGAAATTATAGCGGTGACTAACATTCGTTACAATTTGCATCAATTTAAGTTTATTTTAAATTGAGCAATTTGATCAAATTGAGCAAAACAATAATTTCAGCAGTATGTAATTTTCTAAGCAAATAATTTAATAATTTCTTCGCATTGAAATTGTTTAGCTGATTTTTTTAAATGTTAGAAACATTATATTATTGGCACATTGACATGTGCGAGTGGCAGTGATGATAATCATTGATTACTGTCCTAACATGGCCATCTCGACAACTCGACGGGCGGCTTGACGACGTTTTATTGTCGATGACCCGTATTCAAATCGTCTAAGTGACATTTACACGCGCATTGCGCGTGCCCACGAGACAATCGTTACAAAAGGAAAACATTCAGCACTCAGCACATCCAGTCGTAATCGTCGAAAGGTATAATAGACGATTTTTATGTACGTTTGAATTACGACTTGAAGTAACATCAAATCGAGAAATTATCATCAACACTATTATAATCGGTGAGATTTCTCGTGTCAATTGATATGCAAATTTACTAGATATTTAACAAATAATATTTTTTATTTGTTTCTAAACACTCTGTAGAAATAATATTAATTGCAGCACAATTAATCGCTTGTGAAGTTGCGTTAAATTGCGATGTGCGAGGGACGTTACGACGGTTATTTTACACCACACGCGGCCATCGGGCGTCGTCCGGGTGGAAGCCGGTAATGAAATAACGAGAAGCGCGCCGTACTTCCGGTTGTGCATGACGCCTGCCACGCGTCTGCTCGGGACGTCTATTTTTTTCGTCTTTCCGCGCTCATGCACATCGAACATTCACAATGTGTTGAAATTATTTTATTGTAACAAATATATTGGTGGTTGTCCAGGCGCCCATTTTGTTGATATATCAATTTTGACGTGTGTCTGTTGGCAAGTGTGAAATCAATGTGACCGCGACTCAGAATTATCTCTTCGTCTTGTCCCGGACGCAAAATTCGAAATAAATGGACTTGCATAGATCTTTCGCGGCGCGCTTCGGACGTGGTGATGCACCGCATCGCCATCGCGCCGCCGCCGTAACACCACATCATCATCGTCAAAATTCGTGTCCACATCCACCGACCTCAGGCATTCCAGCTTTGTTAGGAAATCGCCCACGGAAGAAATCGTTTCACTCTTCGCCAATTCCACCAGCACCGCCGCCACCACCGCATTTCTTATTTATACCATCGCCTCCGCCTGTGGTCAATCCAAGACCAATTGAGAGTAGCGACGACGAGAAAAAGCGACGTCCACGTAAGCCTATCGATATTGCCAAACTCGAAGAGAGTTATTGGGCCAAATGGAAACCGAGATCAGAATCGCAAGAACGGAGGCGGCGTCATCGCGAGACGCACTTATCACCGATCAGGCAGTTTGTGGCGAATAAAATCGCAGCCGCCGAGAGGGAGAATCTAGAGGGGCGTGAGAAAAGAGCAGTTTGTCCAGCACTACGTGTTCATTCCGAAAGACGCTCTGGGGGCGGCAAAGATAAGAAAACACCTACATGTGACCTAAGTATGACTTTCAAGCGCCTAAAATTCATAGACGACGATCATAACTACGACCGTCATAAACGTAACCAAATTTTAGTCCACCGAAGTGGTATAGACAAACTTGAGAGCAGAAGGAATCAATCTGCTGATCGAACTGATCACTATAGATTATATGGTGATTCAGACGATTATTATCATCGATAAATTTTTAATTGTTACAAAATAATATGTGAAATATATTTGTCTACTGTCTAAAAATCAATTATTAACTGAACTGAATGTTTCTTATTGTCCTGCTTTCTAAAACAACTTTCAAACTATAAGGTAAATCATATTATCCATTATCTTTAACGACATAACCTCAACTTAACCTTAAAATATTTTTTACACATTTTTTTCCGTTCCTAAAAATTATCTTTATTTTAGGAAACGACAAATCCAACAAATCTAAGATTTAAAAAAAACACGGCCACTGTTCTTGACTTAGAAAATGAAATAATAGAAAATGAAGAATCACTTTCAACATTGTCTTATATATTCTAAATATTACTAAGTTACATTTCTTTATTTGAGAGAATGTAATAATATTTCAAAGCGTCAAATATTAACAACTTTTCTATACGAAAGCACTTATAATCTCGATCATAATTCATGCGCGCCGCGTAAATAATGCACACGCTCATGTTCGTCAGATCGTCAGGTCGTTTCTGTATATATGTATCCCTTGAGAAGTCAATCGAACTTTTCGAACCGCGCGCGTCGCGTGAATTATTCACCGCGAGCGATTTCCAGCGCGATTGAAAATTATCCGAAGGGTGTTCGAAGCCACTCTCGTATGCACTACCGCGAGTGGGAGGTCCAGAGATAATAATAATATTAGACGACATAATGATCGTGTGGGCCAAAACTCGATTACAACAGAAAAAAAAAGAATACTTTCCAAACTTTGATGGAGCACTGAGTCACTTTTCGAAACTTGCTAATACTAGGTTCGAACAGGGTGGTTATTACGAGGCGGTTATCCAAGATTCAAATCATGGAAACTCCTTGATCCTTTCAACATTTTTTTTATTAATATTTGATAGAGCTCTTTTAACTAAAAATTAATTAAAAAATGCGTGTGAAATGATGGATGCGTTGGTTTAATTTATCGCTGGTGCGATATCATCGACTTTCTAATTAATTAGACGTCATTAATGCATTGTGTGCGCTCGCAAACACGTAAATTCGTAATACTGTCATTTGATGTAATTTTATTATGCGCGTGCAGAAATTTCATTAGGTTGTAAATTCAACTCGCAACAAAAATGTATAGATGGTGCTTGTAAAATTTTTATAACTATTTAACACCAGGCGGCGTTGGGGTAATTGTGATTTGGGTTGCTTACCTGTATGAATGTAGGTGTGTTTCTTCATGTCGGACTTTTGATGGAAACGTTTTCCGCAAAACTGACACGGATATGGCCGCGTGTCGGAGTGAATGAGCAGATGTGTGGAGAGCGTCGACGAACGCTTGAAGGATTTTCCGCATTGCTGACACTGAAAACAAAATGACTCTATTAACGCTACTATTCTATGCTACCAGCAGAAAATCAGAAAATTCGACATTTTGAATTCTAAGCACGTATTTTTCTACGGCAGTTTTTTATCAGTTTAGTTAAGTAAAGCTAAATTAACTGGTTTTAGCTTGCTTTGAATAAAATTTGTCTTAGTTTAGAAAAAGAGCTGGTGTCTCATCCAAAGAAGGCGTTATGTTTTGTGCGAAGCATGTCGAGGACAAATGCGATTCGATTCAAATTATGTAATGATTTTTTTCCAACCAATTTAAACAAATTTAAATCCAAAACGAAAATAAAAACGCAAATGTTTACTTGTTGTTTTGGTTGTGTTTTTAAGGCGTAAAATATGAGCTGGTATAATTTGTTGATTGATAAGCGCAGTCATAAACACTCGATAAGATGTTTTTCGAGCGTTTTCGAGCGCCGTGCGCGCATAGTAATTGCGGGTAAATCAATGCCGCTCTCAATTGTGGCGTTTTTTCGTTAGATAAGCAGTCTGATGAATTATGCACGAGTACGCTGACAATTACGTGATAACACTGATTAATATTGAAAATTTTCCATAATTGCTATGCGTGGGTGTTAAATATTTTTTCCAAAATTATAAAAAAAACACAAAAATATAGAATTGTAAATATTGTAATGTTGAGGTTGATTTTTATTTTGTTGAATGTTGATGGCATAATGTGTTGTGTTATACGTGTTGACATTTGCCGGGACGGCGATGAAGACGTTCGAGTTTATTTTGTCGTTTTTCGTGCGCTGTTTGAAAATCGTTAAGCGTTTTATAGCGCTTTACGGTTTTACTAATGCATCATGATGACATTAATACATTAAAACATGACAACCTCCAAGTTAGAAAAATCTAAAGCAAAATTGTAGATATCTAAAATATTTACATTAATCATTTTATATTTTAAATAAATACATTATAGAATCAGAAAAATATTGTATATTTTGTATTAAGTGTATAAAATAACATTTTAAACACTCCAAAACATATTTTGTGCACTCGTAGTAAAAAATGAAACTTATTCACTTTAATATCCAAACGTACGCTATAATACTGTTAGATTGCAGATATTATGATTGTTTTTATTGATAATTTTGTTTATTTACTTAAAACAAACGATTTAATCAATGTGCGAACACATTGTACATGAATGTAATTGCAGTTTGCGACAAATGCACAAGTCGCGAGCGCACATGCACTCGTACATTATTAATTAAATCATTACGAATCATTAGTGCTGCGCCCTGAGCGTATATTGTCTCTCGCTGTTTCCTTTCCGCTGCGCGTATATGCAAAAAGGGTTGAGGGTTGAAATGTGGTGATTTACGGTGCGGCTCGTTGTGGATTTAATGCCCCCGCGAAAGTTTTACCAAGTTTATGAATACGTAAAGTTGCCGCGAGAGCGTTTTGCGTACCTACGTCGCGATGACAAAGTACAAACTCGTATTAACAATAAGCGATGAATATTAAATTAGGCGGACTTTAATGAACAGGTACGCAAGCAACTGAGCATTAATATTTACGCTTGGAATATGCCACACAAATCTAATAAATGCAATAATTAATTAAAAATTTAAAATTACACGGAACACAAAACTACGATTTGTCACCAGAGAAATTATACCTACGTATGTTTCATATACGTGTAATTAATTAATTAATTGTTAACGATTTAATTGTTTGTATTTTTAGATTCATATTTTCGTGTGTTTTTAATGCGTTTGTTTACGAAAACACGACGAATTTAATTACTACCTTTACTTTTTGTCCAACCCTCGAGACACTGTGAATTATTTCCATATTTTCATGTTTGTATTAAAAATTACACGATTTCATCCAGAGAGAAACGAAATGTGTGTGCTGTGTAAATAATTGACACACAAATGACTTTATCCGTTTTGTCTTTGTGTTTTTTTATTATTTTCGTTGGCGTAATTAGGGAAGCAGGACAATTAAAGACGCCGGAGGGTGGTTAATATTTAAGCACACGCACTGCTCGCGCACCAAAAATAAAAACGGACGATGACAAAACGCTGACGAGCGTTGACATAAAAACATTTGTCGCTTGAATACTTCGATTAGAATTACAAGAGTTTACATAATGTGAAGCACCGTGAGTAATTATCGACAAAGACACACGAAAATATTTATAGTAATTATGAAAGTGCAAGCTGATGAAAAATAATGTGTTGAATCCAAAATCAATACTACTATTGCCATCTAGTGGCAGATTTGATTGACTGTTAGTATTATCGACGTAGGTGGTCGTCCTTCTCTTGTAAATTGACATGAATTGTAAACTATTTAAAATTTATCATGGACGCATTACGGCACGGCGGGCAAATGGGCCATCCCTTGTAATTATTGGCAGTGGTTTATATCGCTCGCGATTTGATGCGCGTTGTTTTCATTTTTCAGCTCGCGCTCGAGCCCGACGGACGATGCACGTTTTTCAGCGTATAATTATAAACGAGGACATTAATAATGCATGGTCGGGCCTTAATTACTGGCTACCGATATGATATATACTGATGTGGTCATAAACATTTTATTCAAAAATAAAGAAATTTAAATTATCAACCCAACAGTGTATATCGGTTAATTAAAAATTAACCTTAAAGTTGTGTCACTAGATTTGTGAATATGAACACTCTGTATATCTCAGATATGGATACATAATTTCTTTGTGATTTTTAAATGCTCATCTAATATGCATCGGCAAAGATTCATAGCTAATTTTGTTGAGCGGGGGTGATATTGATTTTCAGATAATTAACAAATGCATGTATGCTCACGGTGTGCAATTACGAGATATTATACAACACGATTGAAAAATAAATATTCGTGTTTTGCCCATTCTTTTGTCGCACGAAACAAAGAGAAAGCGCGATTTATTAATAACATGCGGGATTAATGTCAAATTTTATTTTTATTGTGTCACAAGTGACCTTATTACTATTATACTAACCTTAAAACACAATAAATTAACTTGAATATTGCAAATTGGCTATTTTTACATTGGTAATTAAAGATACCAAGGTTTAATTTATTTTTACACGTATTTTACCTTCCAGTGTTTAAAATCATACTTTTACGCATTAAAAACAAACTTAAAATTAATTTTATAACTTACCGTAAAAGATTTCTCCCCTGTGGGTCCTACGGTTGTCGCCATCTTGGTTTGCACTTCCTTGTCACCATCCCATGTCCACCGATTCTCGGCAGAATGATGATGTTTGCCATACCGGATGACGGTGGTGGCATCATCGCTAAATTCCGGCTTCATGTCGATAATCTTCATCTCCTGCTCACACAAACTCCCCGGCGACCAGATGCTCTGGGTGCGCGTGCGCCCCTTCATCGAAAGATTCAACGGTGCGTCTTCTTCTGAAAAAAGTTGCAAACAGGAAATCCCAGAATGAATACAAGTCTTGAATGAAACATAAATTATCATTTAATAATCTGTATGGCGCGTGGAATGCGCAATTAAATTTAATATTTAATAGTCTTGCACATAAATGTTGTTATACCTGTTTTGATGTTTTCAGGTGTGGCACTCTCAAGAATGGTGGTGTCGCGCACACAATTGTTGTTGTCCGGACTAACGGATTCAGCCGGACGTGTCATGGCTGCCGAGGCGGTATAAGGTAGAAAGAGGCCTGGAAACTGTGGCCAGAAGTATGGTGGGTAGCCTAGTGGTGCTAGAGGGTTGTTATACATCCATGCACCCATTTCTATTGAAAAAATATACAAAATAAAAAAAATGTTAGGTTATTGTTTATATGACTATTTCACTGAAGATGGCGCTATTTAAAAATTACCTCTCATTGAAATGTAATCCTTTGGATGGAGATACCTGGGTGAGACTAGAGAAAACGCACTGTGACGATTATTATTTTGTGATGCTGCGCCCTCATCAGAGCATGGACTACTCGACGGAGAAGATTGCGGTGATCGAAGTGGCGAATTACTTCGCCCGCCACGATTGTAAGCCGTCAGAACCGATAAACGTGGCATTCTGAAAAAAAAAGTGTTTATAGATTTAAGTTTCAATAGGTGGCAGCACTTAAATATCTCTATTATAATCTTTTCTCTGGTCTATATTTGTATATGCAAGGAAATCAAATTAAAGCAACACGTGTACATATAAACCGCTTTATTATTATGATTTAGTTATGATTTTCGGGGGCGGCGATCGTATCGCGCATCCATCATGACGAAAACACATTTCGGCCATCGGTCATCAATTCCGGCTGGTTCCGACGTCGCGCGCCTGGTAATGGAAACCTAATGTGCATTTATTCGATTTTCCTTTGCCAGCCCCACCGAAAACCGGACATCGTTGCGTCTAATTTAATGTATAATGAATATGCGCGATGCGAATGTCCGCGACGAAAACCAAAGGGGGTGAATCACTATCATGCGTGTGTGGGGGTGCCTAAGTGTTATGTTCCTTTTTTATTTTTGCCCTTAAAACGCGAAGGGTGGACAACAAACCAACAAACATATTTTCATTGCACGTAAATCATCCCTTAATAATTTCATGCAAAATTCAACACGGTTGTTTAATTTAGGATAGTTTTATTTATTTTTGTTGTAATTTTCGAAAATAGAACGCGTCACAAAAAAGGATCAACCACAAAGATAAACAAAAACAAATCTAAAAAAGGGTAAAAATACTTTAGTCTTGTGTGGACAGAGGACTGCAGTGTCCTCGAGGATGTTTCGTTTGTTACATATTTTATGTGTGTTTTGTTATCAGTAGCCCGGTTTCTGTTTCGTTTCGTGTGTGCATCACGTGTGTAAATACAGAAGGTTTACTCGCACCTAAACAGTGCCGTACTTTAAAAATAACTACCATTAATCCCTCTATTTTTACATAATATTTCTTATCTTCTTTTGACATTAAAAAATCCGTAATTATTTTGTGGTTTGAATTTTTTTATTTTGAAATTTTTATATATTTTAAATCTAAGAGTTGTTTAATACTTTGCTGTGTTTGTGGATGAGCGCTAAGTGTATTATGCATAACGGGCATGTCACATGTTGTCCGGAATCACGTAGGTGGTGGCGTCGGCGGGCTAATGCTGTTTACATCCCTTAAAAGCAAAAGCACGGCGCGATCACGCGATTATTGCGGCCCGTCTATTGATCCCCCATTACCGTGATTGTCCTTCCGGCCGAAACGTCGCACGAAATCTTTCGTCCTTTTCACTACTCACGCCAGAAGCTTAAATATTTAGTGCTTCATAATAAATTATTTCGTGAGTAATAAAAACCAAGAATAAGATCATTTTGTATTGGTGCAGAACAACGTCAAAACTAAATCATAACAATAAATTCTCAAATTTATTTATTTGTTATACAAATAAGCAACATGCCACAAGTTTAATCTTGTTAGAAAAAATGGAATTTAACACCTATAGATGGTGATGTAAATAATTTTCTCATACCAAATTGATTTCTTTAGATTGTTTTTGAGAAAAAAAAACCAAGCGAACTTTACTTGAACTTATTTTTAAAATCTCAGAAAAACAATTTTTAATTTGATATATCTAACATTTAATAAAACTTGTCTTATTAAATTAATTTATAACACTGGTTTTGTTTCCACAAATCTATTTTTTCCTCTAATAATATTTTCGGAGGACAAAAGTCCAATTGTGATTGTATAGTAAAACTTAATATTAGCCGGGGCACATGAATGTGCTATGAGCAAATTGAGGGGTGGTATGATTGGGGAGCTCGATACGATTGTCGCGATATGAGTGGCGGTCATGCGAGGAAATCGTTTCCGCCGCATTTCCGAAAGCGTTCGGCCACGATTAGGAATTTCCATCGCCATTCAACCCCCCGCTAAGTGAAATAAACTAAAGCGGTCTTAATAATGCGGCAGGAGGGACAAATGACCCGAAATCACTTCTGTGCTTCGACCAAACGAAAATGATAAAATATGTATTGTAATGTGGCCGATTTTGGTTATAAATTACTAAGTTGATTGATACCCCCAAAAAAACTTACCTTTTTTGTGACGATCGTGAAGATCAAATGAATGTAGATGCAACGAAACACTTGAAACTTGTTTTAAACATGAAGTGTATTTATCTGTCCAAGCCACATATCCTATATTTTAAATTATTTATTTATTTAAAAATATTAAAAAATTATTCGCGACACTTTTTCGTATTAAATTCACTTTGTTATAGTTAAATTCATGTTAAAATCACAAAATCAAACACTGATTGCTTTTCGATTTGCGCGGTGTGTACGCTAAGTAAGAAAAGCGTTGAAGTTGAAAGATTCTTGTAGCGGGTGCAAAGGTGAGCTCCGGACGCACGACGCACACCTGACTGGCCGTGATGACTGACGCCACCGACTGATGCACGCTGCCGGATATACCTCCACACTTTTTCGTCCGTGCGATCAGACAGACACGAAACTCATCCCTACCTAACACTTACTACATTCAGGTATATTCCGTTTACCTGTATTGTGTATTGTAGCACGTGCCGTGCGCGCCGTACGCCCTCCCATTTTTCACCTGCGTCTAGCCGCTGATTGGTTGCAATGCTATGAGTGGGTACGGTTTACCTGCCCAGACTGGACGAATCAGAATCTCGCAGGTTTAAATTCTCATCATGTGAAATTTCAAGCAAGGCTTTTCGACTTGTTTTGAGTTTGTTGATGGGCTTTATTGACATTTAGCAGTTCAATTCAATTAACGACTATTAATTACGCAGCCAACGAAAGGAAACAAAACAACAAAACGCGATAAAATTATTATCGTAATGAGTGACTCATCAAGGGACAAATAAATTAACCCAAAAGTTTGAAGGTTTTTTTTGTAATTAACACAAAATATCTTAATATTTTGAGTATTATATTATTTTGTGAATGTTTTAAAACAATTTCTGTAATTGCGATAACTTGTGCGTGTGTTAAATGCCACAATACGGCAACTTCTTCGCGCAGACAAGTACCTCCAACGAAGAGGTAAGATAATCGTTTGTTGCCTGTCGGCGACTGCTCCAAATTATGTAACGTCGCAAGACGACCACGTCGAAAAGTCTTCATTCTTTAAAAGTTCATTGAAAATTTAATTTTTAAATTAAGGCAAAAAATGTTGAGCTGTTTTTCGCATATCAAGAAAACATGAATAATTATACGGTATTTACGTGTAGGTAAATATTAAATATTAAAACAAAGTAAAGTCACAGTTATAATTTGAAAAAATATTCTTAAGTGAAAAACTTAAAAAAACGCTCAAAGCAAAGCAACAATAAGCGAAAAAATCTAGGTGCAATTCATAAAAAAACTTTTATTTAGATAAATTAAAACCTGGAAGGGTACATTTAATTAATTAAACCATAGGTACTCACCCCTAAATTGTAAATCCATAAATACAATGACTACCCGTGTTCTAAATTTGAGTTTGTGCTTTAATTTAGTGTTTAGTCACTTTTATCCTTGTTTGTTGAGTTGAGGGTTGAGGGTTATCGTTGAAGTGGTTGCACATCATGATTCTTCGCTTCTGCTTGATGGTAGGTGCTAGTACTGCTGGTAGCATGGTCGATGGCATGTCGTCCACGCATGGATGAGCGGATTCGCCCGTCGGACGAACGCGCACATGACATTCGGCACGCGCTCGCAACGGTCGCCACTTTTTATTTTTATCACATTTATATTAAGTACTTACTATGCCTACATCTACACCAAGGTAATACCACTTTAATGAACCAACACTCCGGGCGTTCTTTAGTTTGTAATTCTTTCCCACAGATATCGAATGGTAGAAATGTGAATTATGATATTACAGCTGCAATTTTTACTGGTTTGGTATTAAAATATTACTTTTATATTTATTTTATATAAGTGATTGCCTTAACGTAATAAAAAAACATTGTTGGTTTAAAACTACCAAAATATTGAATTTGAGATTTTGGTTTTGTTTTCATTCATTGTTTCTTTAAGTTCAGTGACTTCTGAGATCTAAAAAAGTTGGTTTTATTTTTGGTTGTTACTAACTTATTCATGAACGTAAAATTTAAATTCACGATGTCTATCGTTGATTGTCGATTGCTGGGCAGAAGAAAGGCACGTGCCATCTGTTGTTCTGCCAGCGCCCTTTTTCAAATGCGTTTCTTGCGCCACCACGTTCCACCCGAACGCACTTTTTCATCAAACTTCTTCCAGCCCGACCTTTTAGCTCTTTGAAAACTCTTATGTTGTTAGTTTTGCTTTTTTCTTCATTTTTTTATAATCGTTATAACATTATCATGTTCTCCATACAGAATACATTTGAGTAAAATGTATCAGAGGGTTAAAAATATGCTGCAGCAACCAACGGTTTTTTCATGCCTTACAAGTTTTTGATTTCTTTTTTATTCGTTCGGATTAAAAAATTGAAATGAGTTTTTTTCGGCAGCATGTGCCCCACTTTGGTAGTTTTTAACTGTTCTTTTTCTACAAGTAATCAGTTTTTCAAGTATGCGCAGGGGTTGAACGTCTGGCCACCTGAGCACTTTTTAAATCAGTTTTTCTTAATGAAGTGATGGAGTAATAACTTCAAATAATTTGATACTTGATATGATACTTGTGTTTTTAATGCTTTTTTTTCTCAAATATGTTTTAATAACTTTTTATAGCAGGATTAAACGTATATGAAATGTATTTTTTAAGGAGCATATGTGGTTAACACTTTTTGCTACTGTTTAATTTTTATGGGACCTTATGGTCAGTTTAATCAAGCTAAGACTAAAAAATAAAAGAATCACTAAAAACTCTTGTTTTTATGAACCAAAAATAAAATAAAAATGTCTGCGGTCATCTGCCTAGAGAAACACATTATATTTTACACATTGAATATAAAACACACAATTTGAATATATCTGATAGTTGAAGTGAAGCGTGAACACAATAATGCAATTGATTTCTGATAAGTGTCTGGCGCACACGACATCGATTAATATTTAATCATGTAATTCTATTAAAAATAGTCTGTGCACAAGTCAAAACAAAATCTTTGTCCACATTAAAAAATCAATACAATCACTAGAAACTCAGTCCTATTTTAGCAACTGTAAAATTATTTGTGTTTATTACAGTGTAGATGTTTATAACACCCACATTAAAATCAATTATCCTGTCATATTTTGCCATATCGCATTATTTTCACTCCCGCTTCACGCTCGGGCGATTGTTTCGAGGCGCTGTACATCGCAGGGGCGGCTTCGACATCAGTCCTGGGCGTCATCTGGTAGACGCGTCCATGCCACGTGCGGATTATCCGCCTCAACCGACACCGCAGTTCCTCATCCGTGTCCAACAGACTAACAAGTTGCGCACGCGTCGCATACGTGAACAAAAGAAGCGAAAAAATACGCACACGCACCACAATCAAACATGATCAAACACACTTTCTACTCGTGCTACTATCCTACTCATTCATTACCTTCAGGTAGCATCCAGGTAGAAAATGCACCCGACATCATCAATGGGGAGTAGAAAAGTAGTTTTAGATTCTTGACTTTTGCTTTTCATGAGTATAAAATTTTAAAATTAGAGGAGGTTGAATGAAAAAGTCTGCATGGCATGGAATTAAGTTTATAAAAAAGTGTCATGTGCTTTTTTTATTCTTTTGTAACACCTTTTAGGGTAGAGTCCGAAACACAAGAGCAGAAAATGATTATAGTGGTGAATGACTGAATCAAACCATGCTTCAATTTATTAGAAATTTTAAATTATGGTTTAGGTATAGGGATTAAACGACCGCCGCATGTTTGACCTCAATAACAAATAGGATTTTTAACTTACAAATAAATAGGTAAAATTTTATTTTGTAATTTTTGGTATTTTAGAGTTTTTGATTGTTTATCGCCCCCCACGATAAAATTAGATGTCCCCCGATGAGTTCCAGGGTTTGTAGTTGCGTTACTGATTGCCAGCACACGTTTGGACGTTTTCACCTGGTTGAACCCCAAGAGCCACGAGTCGACCTCATTGATTTGCCAACACATGGCGTCATTAATTACCCTCAACACCACCCTCATGTTTGATGCCCCATGCAGATTCACCTTGAAATTATTTTTTTACATAAAAAGCAAAAACAAATCCAACACAATTTTGTATTTTTTATGAGAGTTTCTGTAACTGGACACGATGACCGTATGCCGAATGACATCCGAATATTACAAAAAGGTTATAATTATGTACTTACTGGAGAAAGTTACATGTAAAACATAATTTAGGACTATGCAGAATGATATTTTCTTTGTTAATTAATACATAATTGCTTTCTTTGGATGATTGGTGAGGAGCAATTGTCTAAAACATTAAAAGTTATTCTCTTATGGGTATAATGAGCAAAAATTGCAAAATATAAAAATAAAATAAATTTTGGTTTTTACGAATTAATTAAAGTATAAGTTGAACTAGGTTTAGAAAAACCCAAGATCGTTATTCATCAATATTACACAAAATGTATCTTAATATAATATTTGCTACAGTAAAATTTTGCATAAAACCAGTACCTATATTGTAAAAGTTTTAATATCGATAAAATATGCATAAAAACGCACATAAAATTTTCATCAACTCTACTACAAACTACTTTAAACAACTTTTTGAGTTGCAAGCGAAATGGCCGTGGAAGTCTATAAAAATTCACTAAAACGCGTCATAAAAATTACATTATCGAGTTGGCGATATTAATATTACCAAAATATTTAGTTATCATTAAAAAATAAAATTAATTTACATTTTTATAAAGAAATGAAGATATTTTTGCTGATATTCCGATCTTGTTCAATTTGGGTCATAATGTGACTTGTAATTGAGTCTTGATGGTAAAATTGAAGTTGAAAGACAATAAATAACAAACCAAATTACTAGTTGCAAGTGACAGCCAACGGAGTTTATGAAGCGCCGCCAAAAAGTGTGAAAGCGCACGCTGGAAATCAAAATATTAAGACAAGCTTACGTGACACACTAAGAAAAGTCTTGATTGCTTTATTAAAAATTAAAATCAAGCCCATCGTTTTAATTTTGCAAATAATAATAGTATTATTTGTAGTTATATATGCAACGCAAGTGTAATAACATTATAAAAGTTGTGTCAATCATTAAGAAATAAAATAAATGTAATTGCGAATAAAATTCCTTGCAAGGAGAGAATAAGAAAGTTCAAATTTGTAGGCTGCGCGAAATTGGCAAGTAATTAAAACCATATCGAATTACCAATTTGCATAAATTTCCGAGATGGAACTTGCCGATTCGCGCGCTTGCTCGACACGTCGTTTAATAGGGTTGCCAAACTAAACCACAATATAAAATTATATACAAAATCAAGTAAAATGCCTGAAAAT